CTGGCTCCTGTCCTGGGTGCTGGCGCTGGCCGGTGGCCTCACCCTCCTGTGCAGCGGGCACCTCCTGGTCCAGCTGTGGCACCTTCGCACCTTCTTGGCTCCCTCCTGCCCGTTCACGGCCCTGCCGCAGGTGGCCCTGGCCGCGGGAGCCGTGGCTCTGTGCACCGGACTGGTGGGTGCAGGAGCCAGCAGGGCCAGTTTGGACGCAGCTCAATACCCGCCCTGGCGAAGGGTCCTGGGCCCCCTGCTGGTGGCTGGCACGGCTGGGGGTGGCGGGCTGCTGGTCCTCGCCCTGGCGCTAGCCTTAGCTCTACCTGGAAGTCTGGACATGGGGCTGGAGGAGGGCCTGGGCGCTGCCATGGCTCACTACAAGGACACAGAGGTGCCTGGGCGCTGCCATGGCTCACTACAGGGACACAGAGGTGCCTGGGCGCTGCCATGGCTCACTACAGGGACACAGAGGTGCCTGGGCGCTGCCACGCCAAGCGGCTGTTGGATGAGCTGCAGCTGAGGCACCACTGCTGCGGGCGCCATGGGTTCAAGGATTGGTTTGGGGTCCAGTGGGTCAGCAGCCGGTACCTGGACCCCAATGACCAGGATGTGGTTGAGTGAGTGACCTGCTTCTCTCCTCCTCCCCCTCCTCCTCCATCCTTTAAAACCCCACCTCACCCAGCCGGGCAGCAAATAGAGCTTAGTGACTGAGAGGATGGGTGACAGCTCCGCCATCTATTACTGTGGGGCCCAGGGCCCGCTCCCGAACGCCTCTGAGCCCGTGTCCTCATCTGTAGAATGGAGACGATGATAGCATGTCTTACAGAACTGCTGTGAAGACAAATGAACTGTGCCTGCCTGGCACATAGGAAAGCAGTTAGAAATGTCTCCTCTCATTGTCCCTTCTCAACTCTGTGCCTGCAGCTTCTCCCCCAGGCCTCTCTCCAGACACCCTAACACCTGCCCCTCCCTTTGCAGCCGCATCCAGAGCAATGTGGAAGGCCTGTATCTGATTGACGGAGTCCCTTTTTCCTGCTGCAACCCCCACTCACCCAGGCCTTGCCTGCAAGACCGGCTCTCAGACCCCCACGCCCACCCCCTCTTCGATCCCCGTCAGCCCAACCTAAACCTCTGGGCTCAAGGATGCCATGGGGTGCTGCTGGGGCACCTGCAGGGGCTGGCGAGCACACTGGGCAGCCTGCTGGCTGTCACCTTCCTGCTGCAGGTGAGTCAGCAAAGTGTCTGAGGCCTCCCTCCATCTGGACTCCTTACTGCCTCCAACCCTGGGGCCCTGGACCCGCTGACCCGCACCGACCTCTTCCCCTTGCTTTCCCCAGACTCCGGTGCTCCTGGGCCTGCGGTACCTGCAGACGGCACTGGAGGGGCTCGGAGGAGTCATCGATGGGGCAGGGGAGACCCAGGGCTATCTCCTGCCCGGGGGGCTGAGGCACAGGCTGAGAACAGCCTGGCTGCAGGGAGGGGCTGCCCACAGGCCAGCGCCCGGGGAGGCCCCTCCAGAAGAGGCACCGCCTGGGGAGGATCCACCTGAGGCCTAGTGGCCTGGAGCTGGGGCTGGGGGTCGGGCAGAGGGAGAAGGGGTGGAGAAGCAGGACACCTCACCACTCTTTTGCCAAGGCCCCTGGTGGGGAAGTTGGGGGGGAGGGGTCCCTGGGATTAGAGCGGTTAAGAATAACTAGCAAGCTGGACGGGGTAGGAGAAATAACGAGGGGTCCGAGGGCCTAGCCCCTGTGGCCAGAACAGCCCAGAAACAGAAATCCCAGGAGGTGGGCAAGCGGCATGGGAGGCTGAGAGCTTCCCTGCGGACTCAAGGAAGCTTCCGGACTGAAGCCGCTGGTCTCCTCCTCAGGGGGTGGGTCCCTGAGAGAATGGGTTTCTGTCCTAGAGAGAAGCCAGGAGGCCAAGGTTTTGACCCCGGTGAGAATCAGAACGCAAGAAACAGACTAATAAAACGAAAAGAATGAGAGGCCCCTCCAGGTTGAGATTTTTTTATTCTGGAGGTAGGAGGGGTCAGCATGCTCAGGTGGGGAGGGTCCAGCCCAGCTCCTCCAGCCCCCCCGCCCCCCGTGCATGCCCAGCCCCAATAAGTTACCCAGTTACTCAGCTGCCCTCCCTCCTGAGTCTGTCTGTCCTTCTGCTCCGCCCCAGACAGGGCTGACCCGGCTCAATACAAGGGCTGCTTGTCCCCAGCTTGTGGGCAGTGCCACATGGCAGGCTGGGGGCGGGGGAAGCAGCTGGGCTGGAATGGCAGAGGGGCCGCCCCTGGCTCTGAGGGGTCAGGACGTGGAGAACCGCACCCTGGCAGCCAGGGGCCCGGCCCCGCAGGTCTGTGCCTGGCGAAACAGCAGTCGGGTGGGGCGTCCATCACACCTCCACGGCAGGGTCTGAGCCTCGGCCCTGCCGCTGTAGCTGCTCCTCCTGCTTCATCTTGGGCTTCTCCGTCCGCGTGTGCCACACCAGAACCTGTCCCGGGAGGACTCCATTAGAGCCGGGCCTCTGGGCCTTCGGTGTAGACCGGATTCTCCAACCCCCTCTACACAGTGTGGGAGCCTCTGTGCCTCGAAAATGGGGCCTTAACCCCTTAACCTCTGTGGGCCATGCAGGTGCCCAGGACGCTGGGAGACAGAGTGGCAGAGCCCCACTGTCCTTCTCTGGCTCCCCGCTGCCCTTCAGGAGAGTAAGCAAGGCTGCAGCTGAGTCCCGAGGGTGAGGGTCCCTCCTGCTCCAACACCTGCCCTGTGATCCTCCTCCCAGGGCCTCACCCCACTTCTCCCATCCCCCGTCCACCCCAGAGCTGCGTGCCCACCTCCCTCCTCTTACCCGGGTGCAGTTGGCAGCCCGTGGCTCCAGGTCCTTGGGGTCCACCAGGTGGCTCAGGAGACTGCTCTCCAGGTGGCCCCGGGGAGCGGTTGCGTCAAACTGGGCATTGGGCTTAGCCAACAGCAAGGGCAGGGCCACTGCGAATCCCGCCATATCCACTGGGAACGGCCGGTTGGGCTCCCACGCCGTGTGGAAGCCCACAACCCGGCCGTCCTGTACCCGCGGGCCCTCGAACCGCAGGCCGCCCACCAGCCCCACAGGCCACACGGAGACACCGCGGGTCCAGCGCATCTAACAGAGGTCGGGAGACAAGAAACAGACAGGGAGTGGCCCAGCGGACAGGGAGCAGCAGGAAGGACCACTTGGGTCCTCTGCTCCATGTCCCCCCTCCTCACCCAAAAGCCTAGGCAGTGGTTCTCAACCTTCCTAATGCCGCGACCCTCTAATACAGTTCCTCATGTTGTGGTGACCCCAATTTCATTGTTACAAACTGAACATAATTAAAGCATAGTGATGAATCACAAAAACAATATGTAATTATATATGTGTTTTCCGGTGGTCTTAGGCGACCCCTGTGAAAGGGTCGTTCGACCCCCAAAGGGGTCGCGACCCACAGGTTGAGAACCACTGCCCTAGAGCAACAGTGATAACCAAGGCAACAGAGGAAGCTGGCCCACGGCCCCTATCCCGGCCCCTCCCGGTGCTCACCTCCTCAAAGAGTTCCCGGCTGTAGGTGTTGTCATCATCAGCAAAGTACACAACTCCCCGGGTCCCCGGGGGCGGAGGGTCCTTCTCTCCCCCGACAGCGCCCCCTCCACTCCGGAGCCAGTCCAGAGCCCTGTTCCGTTGCTCTACACCGCGGGGACGAACCCAGCCTGGCTCGCCCTCCCGGAGCCTCTGGGCCTTGGGAGTGAGGACCGCCAAGTGTGTGAAGAGCAGGCCAGAGGCAGCCAGCAGCCTGGAGACCAACGGGGTGGGGCCCTCCGCGTCCTCCACCAGCAGCCAGTGCAGCCGGGGCACCAGACTCAGGGTCTGGGACAGTCGCACCAGCTCGGCCTTCTGCACCAGCCTGGAGGGGGAGAGGCAGCAGCAGGGAAGGGGGCAGGCTCCAGCTGCCACTCCAGCCAGCAGACACAGCTTCTCCCGACCCCCTTCTGGCATCCCCAGGGCCTTTCCCCAACTCCTTGTCTTGCCGTCAACTTCACAGGGACACTCATCTGCCCTGTCCTCCCACTCATGTGTGTCACCCACCTCAACCCTGGGAGGCACTCGGGGAAGGAATCAGATCGGGTTTGAATGCCAGGTTTGTAATTAGGGGCGACATCTGGCGGAAACGGCTCATTCTCCCCAAGTCTGTTTCCTTGGCTGTAACATGGGAATGACAGGACTCTACAACAAGGTGGTTTTAAAGATTAAATAAGATAATGGTTTTCTAAAACACCGGTGGGACCAGGTTCTTTTCCTTCTGTGCTTGGGTTTCCAGGGAGAAGGCTCTAGGGAGTCCCTTGACTCACTCCTCTCGGGGGGAGGATGGTTTATCCGAATTTAGACAAAGAACTGGGAAGTGGGGCCAGTCTCTTCTAGGCTTCTTTCTCCCTCAGATCGGCCTGCCAGCCACAGGCTTGGTGGCCTGTGGGGG